GGTGGCTGCGGTGCTCGCCCAGCACGGGGCAAAGGGGCACCCAGCTCCCACTGGCCCGGCAGCCTCCGGCACCTCTGAGTCACCATTTCCCTCTCGCGATGCTGGGAGGGGCTGGAATGTACTGGGACCCGCGGGACTGGCACCGGCACATGCTGGGACCCATGGACTTGGCACTAGGACATGCTGGGACCCACGGTCCCAGTGCTGGGACATGCTGGGCTCCGCACTCCCAGCACTGGGACGTGCTGGACTCCACAGCCCCAGCACTGCGACTTAACTGGGACCCATGGCTGTTATACTGGGGCTTTACTGGGGCCCTAGTCCCTGGCACGAGGACATGCTGGGACCTGTGGGCTTGGCACTGGGACATGTTGGGGTGCACAGCCCCAGCACTGGGATGTACTGGATTCCACAGCTCCTGAACTGGGACATACTGGGACCCATGGCTGTTATGTTAGAGGTTGCTGGGGCCCAAGTCCCTGGCACTGGGACGTGCTGGGATCCATGGCCTTTACGTTGGGGCTTGCTGGGCCCTAGTCTTTGGCACTTGGACACGCTGGGACACTCGTGCTCAGCCCTGGGACACACTGGGACTCACGACCCGGTGGCTGGGACGCACTGGGACCCGTGTGCTCAGTGCTGGGACCCGCTGTGCCCCCAGCACCAGCACCACCAGCCCCCACTGGCCCCCCGGGGGCTCCAGAGCTGCTGCTTCAAGGGGCCGGTCCCCTTTCATGTGCGGGTTGGGCTGTTTGCAGAGCGCAGCCCCCTCCCCACTGCCCCTGCCCCCCGATAAACCCGGGGGCAGGGATTCTGTGTCCCGGGCTGTTTGGAGAATCTCACGGCTGTTTATTGGGGTCTGGGACACATTAGCCACGCTGAGAACAAACCTCTCCCACCCACCCCGGTCCCTGCCTGGGACCAGCTCTCACAGCTGCGCCGCGCTGTCAGCTCCATAAATCAAACCCGGGGGGAGGGAGCCCGGGGCAGGCTCGCCTCGGCCGAGCGGGGGGCCGAAAGGTGCCACTGGGCTCCCGCCTTCGCCCCCTCCCTGGGGCAGGCTGGGGGAGGCTCCTGCAGGACCCCCAGGGTGTTCGCCCTGCTCCCCGCTGGCTCCAGCACCCTGGGGAGATGGGGAAGCTCCGGCCCCGCAGCCCTGGGGGGCCACCCCGGGAGCC